GGAAACTGCGTGTTCCGACGTTCCTAATCCTTGTTTAATCTGTTTTTATATTTTAAGGCTTTTTGGATTTGAATATTTTCAATAATTTTTCAAGAAGGAGTCATCTTCAATATGTTTGACAAATTTTGATAAAATGCACTTAGACGTCTTCATAATTTGGGGAAAAATTGAAAAAAATTTATTTAGAGTGTGAAAATTGGATTTTACGCAGTAGTACGTCAATATTTTATTAAAACATTAATACTTCTTCGTTCATTAAGACTTCGTTCCGGCAGTGTTTAATAAAAATGTAATTCGTTTTTACTCTCTTGTTCTAGACATACTCGTAGTAAGAGTCAATTCTATCAATAAGATTAGCAATTTTAATTTAAAGAAATTATGCATATAAAGTTTTGTCAACAATGCACTTCAGCGCGCCATCTCGAATTCAACTATTTAACTATAACTATGATTGAATCTCAATGTCAAATTTTATTCTATAGAAAAGAGCTGTTTTGAGGATTTTCCCGGCAATTATTCGAATTTTTCTCACCTTTTAAACCATCCCAAGATCTCCACGAATAATTCAAGACCAAGATAAGATAAATCCGTTCCGCCATTCTCGAGTTTTAGCGAGACTAACAAACAGCAATTCATTCACAGTTTTTAAATGTAAAATAAATTCTGATGACTTAAACTCTGAGTTTTGACGCATAAAATGTTTGATAATTGATAAAATCACGAGTTTTTGCAAAAATGTCGCAAAGTACTACTTTACGCATTTAATAATGTCACAATTGTTGATATTTTGTACCTACTTTAAAGAATAATAATGCATAATCAAGAATTTCTAAAAAATAGGAAATTTCCTAGTTTAGCTTTCTTGTGATTGTTAAAGAAAAGCTAATAAAACGTTTTCAATCACTTAAGGCCAACGTAGAGTCCTTCATTTCCTTCGCGCGGCAACAATCCGGTGTTATTTCTTCCTGCCGTTCCTGTTATTCTATGCCACTGCTGGAGGGCGCGGGCTCGACCGTCATAACGATAAAACCACCCCCGCAAATGAATTGATTGAATCCGCTACTTCCTGATCCGGAAAACTCGCCGAAACGAAACAGGATTTGCAGGACCTTTCCTAGCCCGCCGGCGAAGTCATCAATCAGCATTTGTATATTTTCATATCTCTACAATTTCCATTTATTTTCATCATTTCAACGCGTATTTTTTCTGTATCCTAGAAAAATCCTAAACAAAGAAAAATAATAAAAAAATATTTTTTACTGTTTGATTTATATTTTTATTTATACATCACAAAGATCAATACATACTCGTAGTGTATAAATTATATTATTTTAATGGAGGGATATTGTGAGGATGTAATGATGAGATTTTTATTGAGGAAATACGTTAGTCGATCAAATAGGAAAACAGTGATGGCGGAGGCGCCGGCGGTTTTCGATGGAAATTATTACCGCCCTCATTCCCTCTGCGACGACCTCACCTCAATTCCTAGCCGTGGTATCCGCTTCCAGCGCTTGTAAATCGCAAACATGGGAATCGCTCGCGCGCCCGTTGATTTCATTTCACATCCGCACTTCATAACTCCTCGCCCGGCGCCTCCACCAAACAGCCATCCGAAAAGATATAAATAAATTCCGGAACGACGGGGCGTGCATTTTCTATTCATCAAAAACACATTCGCATGATTACTACTGAAAAAAATATAAATTTTATATTTGTTATTTATATCCTGCGAAAATTTTATGATTATTGCATTATCAACATTTGTAAATATTGTATATTTGCGAGCAGAACGGAAATAAAAATGAAAACGTGAAAAAGCTGGTAATATCGAAGTGATACTTTGGGGAATTAATTAAAACAGGCGTCGCTGAACGCGTCGACGTGAATTTTTCATGATAAATGTGCGCCGCGACGCGCTGATATCGAAAATATTTGCAAACACGTTCTCCCTGTGCGAACATAATTTATTGACGTATAACAAAAAAAAGTAATGTTTAAAATATCACAAGATACAATGATAATATGTAAGTACGTGATTTCATTTATTTACTAATTAAATATTTGATTTTATTTTAGAGTTACACATTTTTTTGGTTTTATCTAGAGTTAGAGTTTACTGTTGGTTCGAGTTGGGTTTGCCACGCATAGTTCGGCGGCAGGCCGAAGACGCCAGAGAAGAAAGTCAATTTCGTGAGTCGGAGTTTGCCGGCTTTGCCGGAGTATACAAATTACATTTGTGATACAGTTTGACACTTTAGTCAGTCAATATATAAACAAAACCTTTCGAGTTTGCCGAACACAAAGCTCTGCCGTTCGGCGCGCCTTCGCATCGCTAAAGTCTAACTTTGTAACACTGTAACCATCTAAACATGTGACAAATGCCGTAATATACAATGTGTTCAATATTTACATTTTTGTATAAAAATTATTTAAAAATAACAAAAATTTAATTTTTTAAAAATAATCTTTGAACACATTGTATATATAAATATTACTCTCAATACGCAAATTTTTTCTTCCGCTCTCCGCTAGAATTTCGTATCGTGACTTTCTGATAAGAAGTTATAAATGCGCAAAAATCATGCCTTCTCACGGTTTAACCTCAATCTCCCACTACCAGTTGGAGGGGGTGGTTTTTCGGCGTGTTTTTTTTTCTTTCTCAAAAAGTACGTATTTTTATAACATTCACCTTTGCCACCGCTTCGTACTTCTCACCTACTTATTGTCGAGTCTCACGTTTCGAAGCGTTTCGCATTTTCATCTTGGGGTTTTTCGTTTTATATTTTTTCATCCAAAGTTTTTCGCGCGCGCCGTATCGACCTGGATATTTTCATTTCTTTGTGGCAATCCGACGTGCGGCGCGGAGATACGTCGAGGCCGAAAGTTGGCAGGACAAGTGGTCGAAGTTTTTACGATCGTGCGGAAAATACGAAGAAAAAACCGGCAGCGCAAGACGCAGGAAAAAATCTCCTTCGGAAAAAAAGTGAAAAACGAGTCGAGATAGCGCCGATGGAGTGTCCGTGTTTCGCGTGGAAAATACCGAAGGTGGTAAATTTTTAAATTTAATTATCGTTTTTTTTTTCGGGCGTTGCTTGTTGGCACAACCGCATCCGCGAAAATTTCTTCAAGTTTTTCCGGCGGATTTTAAGAGTATTCATAAACTGGCTGTAATAAAATTTAAACTTTTCCATGCACGTGGAGTTTTCACGCCGGGAAATTCAATACCTACTCGAAAACAATTTCTTACAAACAACGTACAGATTAGAGTAGATGTAATATGCAGGTTCTAGCACCACCTTTAATCCATTATCTTTAATATAGAAATTTCCGGCTGGGAAAGTTTCAATTTTAAAATGTTTCGCAGTCTCGCTTAACTTTTCCGATTTTTGAATGTGTGTGAGTGTGTGTTTTGACGCAGCGACTTTGTTTGAAGTGTAAAATATTGTCGTCGGGGGCGGCGACTGCACTCCACTCCAACTTTGCGCATTCGGCGCGTTTATATTTTCCGCCGTCGGGAAACTCCATCCGGTTGTCTGTGCGCAGGTGTGAGAAACTCGCTAATTAGTCGAATTTGGTTGCCGCCACCGTTGCCGCCTCCAACGTCAAACACGTCGACTTTCATTTCCACCAGAAATTTGAATGCAAAAGTTTCAGATTCACATTAAAATCCATAGAAATTTCTTTTAATAAAAACTACCCTTAAAAATAAAAGGGGCGGTTAATGATAAAGTGTAAAATTATCATTTTAAGCATGAGGAGTGATTCCCATTGGATAATATTTGGTGCTTTGCATAATTATAAATGAAATTCACATGTTAGGATCACCAACATTTTGCCGTCCCCAGGCTGCCACCTCTTCGGATCAAGTTGACAATGTATGCATACCCGAAAACTACAAAACCCTCTGAAATGTTTGGAAATATTAGGTAACTAACATCGGAGGCGGCACTGGAGGCGGTAATAGCGACACCAATTCGCTAGAGATGAAAACAACGCAGAGGTATCACATAGCATTTCGTTTCGATTCGTTAAGTTTGGAAATATTTTGTCTGCTTGTAAATTAACACCGTGATATTACAAAACGGATGTGACGTCATGAAATGTTCTAAAACCTGATTATACATACTACTGAATATATTATAGTGGATAAAATATGGAGAATATTTCATAATGTGGTTTTCTTTTATAGTTTTTAATTTATCTTGGTTTTATGCCAGCGTCGGCAACATTTTCATTTTCGACGCTTTTTGTTTAATCCTCGACGCAGATATACACAAATCCACTCGGCGTTAATTAAGTCGACGCTTTAGCGTTACCTTTCTCGCTTGCGCCGCCAGTGCCGAAAATTTAAATTAGTCGTATGCGCAGGCATTCGCCGCCCCACACTCACTCACACGTACGCATCTTGCGAACTCAACGCTGATCCTTAAATATTCTTAGAGTAATGGCTGCGGGGCGTTTTGCCGCTCGCGGATATTCAAAAGCCGACAATGAGCGTTAGCGTTATGACGTGCCTCGTGCCTAATATCCTACGCGCTGATATATTAGCGCCACTTGCGTATTTCGTCCTTTTGGTCCTTTTCTACGCGCCCGCCGGCATTGTGAGCGCGGCTTCGTGCTTGCTGGGTGCTTCTTGCGACTAATGTGCAGGCACGCCGTCGGTATTATCCTGGCGAGCGTCTAACAGGACGAGCGACGCAGCTATAAACATCCGAACGACGAGCGCAAAGCGGGAAAACGACAAACAACAAACAGCAAACGGCAAACGATTTCATGATGCCTGCGCACGTTGCACGAGGATATCTAGGACTCTATGTGACTAGGATAGTATGCTATTTAGGGAATAGCACGATGTGCACTATACACCCACCGAGACAGAACGGAAAATTCATGGAAAAGTCACCTTTGCTAAATTTAGGTTATGGTCGCATGCAGAGTGAATTTTCTTTGTTTTGTCGTTTTAAAATTGATATTTATTGAAATTTCTATTGTTGCAGTGGTAATTGCGCAGGATGTGCAAGCTGTGGAAGGGAAAATCATCAATCTTCCTTGTGACGTTGTTCCACCGGGACATGACAAAGTCTACATGGTCTTTTGGTTCCAACATGGCTCCGGTATACCAATATACAGGTAAGAATAAAGTAAATTTTAGGTTATATCTTGATTACAACGCCATCTAGCGGTGAAAAAATTAAACAAATAAAAAAGTCTGTAAATTATCATTTCTGTTCATCTAATTTCAATAATTACTTACAAAAATGACAAATTTTTAAAAGTTTGTGATTTGTGACGTCACATTGGTTTTAAAACCTGCTTATATACATTGTACATGTTTAAAACGTAATATCTCAGTTTGTAGTAGTGATTTTAAAGCGGTCTTTTTTGCGAATGAAGAAAAGACATAAATAGAAACGTGGCCGCAACTCGTTATCATAACATTACGTCATGCGATAATGTTGCGCCGCAATAATCGCACATGATAGCACGATTCGCATGCAAATCGCGGCGCTAATTAAACGCGATTATGCGCAATTGCACAAATTGCGCAAAATTACAACGTCAAAGATGCCAGTGATAAAAAGTTAGTTTTCCACATTGCCACAATTTTCACAGTTTTCCGCAATTTTCCACAATCTCTCACACTTTCATTTGTTTGAACACATTTCAACCCCAGTTCGCTGCAAAGTAGATAAAATTAAATATGTTTATCTTAATGTTTATGTTTGTGTAAGGTTTTCATTAAAATATACACTGTGTTTGAAGTTAATTTTTTGGATAATAATTTGTTTTGTTAAAATATTGAAACACATGGTATATAAATGTTAGTGTTGGAAATCTTATCAAGTTGATTTAATGAATGTGAATGTTATCGCTTGTTATCAATGTCTAAAGGACACTAAAGGGTGTGCGCGTTCGCGGGGGATGCAAATTTTTGTCTTAACTGATGGCGAGCTGTTTGTACTCACATTAGGGAACAAGGGTCGACGCTTGTCGACGCGTGTCGCGTCCTCGCGTCGACGCCGCCGCCGACGGAGGGTCGCGACACCCCTTTTCTTGCTGCCACCGACGCCGCGCCGTTTTGCTCCCGCTTTGCTCCACTTTGTTACGATAAGATCGGTTATTATGAATAGCGCTCCGCGCCGTACCAACTTCAATTTTTTTCTTCCTGCTTTTCATCCTTTAAATTTTTTGCGCGTGAAAATGCTCGTGTATACACGTGTTTGATGGGGTGCAGTGCGCAATCGAATAAATGTAGGGTGTATGAATGATAAGTGTACCGGACGCGCGCGGGAAATTTAATGATTTAATGTCCTGTGATCCTGGCCGCCATTCGAAATTGAGCGAATGGTAAAAATGGCAAAAAGCTGAAAAAGCGTCCGGAAAAACGCCGCTCATAACGCCGACGGTTTTCAAGCACAATGCTCGACAAAAGCACGCCGGCAGCAGCAGCAACGGCAATTGGGGGGCGGCGGATAGAAAAGATAAATGGAGGGGAATAACAAGCCGATTGTACATTTTTATTGAATGCGATTAATTCGTCCTGTGTGCGTTTTTACGAAAAACGTCATACAATTGGAAAAACAGCACAAAACCGGACAAAATCCAGGACGAAACAGTGTGTGATAACCTAATGTAACCGATGCATCAAAAAATTCGATTTGCTCACCGAGCCAAAACATGACAACTATAAAACGTTTTGTGTCACGCTTAAAAATTGCTTTTAATCACATCTAAACAACCCTCAATATGCTAACAACCTTATAACATACAGTGTGTTCAGAGATATATTCCCACTCAGTTAATATTAATAAAAGATTTATTGACCTCAAAAATGCGCTTTATGACAACGACGATAAACCATCTTGAATACGGAGAAAATTTAGACAGGACGATAAAAAGGATAATACGGATGATAAAGCCTCGTGCACCGCAAAAAAAACGAAGAACTTCGTTTTAACGTTTTAATATCGCATTGTCGTGCAGTTCCATTATGGTCCGAGTCAAAATTCAAACTCTCGTCCTGCTCCTGTTCCACTTCCTGAAAATCCTTTTTACTCGTCGCAGTTTTTTACACCCGTGTGCTCCCTTACCCGAGGGAAAAGTATGAAAGTTTCAAGAACTGCACGACGCAACATTGTAGCGAAAAACTCCGTTAAACAGTTGCAGGACGAGGCGCGCCAGGACGAGCGAAAATGTGACCACTTTATTACTTAGCATCATGAATAATTTATACACGCCGTCAGTCTATTACGTCTATTTTTACATCGCGCATCGTGCACACTCGAGTCCTTAAACAAGGACTTGTTCTTTATTATCCTCCGCGCCAGGATAATGAAGTGCGCCCATCTACAACTTGAGCTCTTAATCAATTAAAACACAGCGCTGCCGTAAAACTAAATTTTTGTTTTTCGGAGATGCAGAGGGAAAGTTTAAGGATTAAGTTTTAAGGATCAATGGCGGACAGGATTCGCGCGTGACTGTTTGTACAATAATAGCCCGCTGGCGCATTAATTATAATTCTTAGCCTTTTGTTCTTTGGCTTGGATAAAACGGCTGCTAACCTGTCAGGACGAGCTGTTATCCTCATTTATCCTTGGCGGGTTTTAGTTTTGGCTCTCTGTACTATTCGCTTCTTGAATGAGCAAGGTTTGTTCGTCCTTGGCGGCACGCGCACGACGCATATGGTTTGCGGTTTGTTGTGTCGTGTGAATGGGAAAGTTTGCCAAAGGCGATGAAAGGCGGAAGGACCTAGGACGAAAGATTCAGGTGAAAGTTTCAGGTAGGCGCTAAGTTCCTTTAATAAGGGAATTGCTTGGATTGTCTACTAATTGAACTATAGAAATATTAAAGTTTATTGGAAACTTGCTTTGACACGTAGTTTTTAAAGAGAATTTAATTAATATTTTCATTTTGTTTAACACCTAGTATATGTTGATTGAATTATTTAAATTTGCTATTTTATTTTAAGAAATGAAAATTTCTTATAACGCACTGCAGTGCCATCTCTAATTGAATAATTTAATTTTAATTAGGATTAAATCTCCTTACCAATTTTCATTTCTTATTATTCATCCTTGAAGAAATAATTTTTGATATTTTAATAACTATTATTCTATTCTATTGCAAAACGAATCCAAGAAATCATAGATCATTAAAATCGGCTCAGTCGTTCTTGAGTTATAAGTGTTGTAACTAACAGGTTTATGTTGTATAGATATAAATAGGTTTATAAATTTTCTTCAACTAAAATTATTAAAATATTTATTCAAAACTATTAATATATAATATTTTATTCTTTATAACAAAAATAATTCAAAAAAGTGTTTTGTGATATAAATTTTAACAAACCGGAAGTAAAAATAATACAAAATTGCTTTGACATTTTAAAACTTGACGTTGTACCTTGTCGCTTCCATATAGCTCAGTAACAATAAACATTATCCTTGCAAGGATACATAAACGCGTGATATCACTGAGGCGGCATTGCCGCCCCCGGTAATATGACTTTATCTGTGAATAGTGCGCGTACGTGCCCGCTAACGAGTGAGGCCGACGAGGCACCCACTAATTTGTAGTGTAATATTCTGCGCGCTTTCGGGCGTAATGGCCGCCGCACTAAACAAGGCCTGCCGCCCTCTCAAACCTCAACACCCCTTAACGACAATGTTCTTAACAGAATATGCTATTCTTAATACCAAACAATAAAAAACTTGCGCATGTGCTTTTCAACAACAACAAAAAAAAATAGATTATAATATAGGTTATGTTAGTCTGGTGACAGTATCATCTATCCAATCTTCATAATCTTCTAATCGTGCATAATTTGTAACAGCATTATTTTCACTGCAATTTGTGTTGAATGACGAAATTCCACGTTGAAACCAACGACCGTTACTGGAGCTGCGGTAAAATAGTGGACTTCCGGTATCCATGATGCATTTTGATTTTGTGGTTGGTGCATCTCTTGTACACATTGTATGTGAGGTTATGTTGTATTCTTCAATTTCGAAATAATGCGCCAGGCGTGTATCACATTCTTCATCGGCAATTTCCCAACGATCAGGTTTTTTAATGATAACAAAATTATCTAAAAACAATTAAAACACTTGGTATATACATAAATAAATAATTAATAATTACCTTCCATTGAAAATCCACTTGTCCAATAAGTGTAGTTGTATTTTAGGTTACTGTAAGTCTCATGTGATTGTTTCAAGCCTTTCCAACAAATTGGTCGTACATAATCTAAAAACACAAACACATTGTATATTTTTCTTTTCTATCGAAAAAAAATCATATTTAACCTGTATAAGTGACACTTTGATTGAGCTTGATAATCGCAACATTATCCATGAGTGTTATCGGGTCATAGGTGTCAAATATAATAATTTCCTCGACGGGAACATTGAGTGAGGAGGCGGTGCACTCGCCGCCGCTGAGATTGTTGACGCACTCCAGGCCCGTATCTTGAATGTTGTACTTGCCGACGCGTACGGAATCGCTGAAACGTGAACACGTGAGCACGGAGGCGGCGTGCGAGAAACATGTATTTCATCAAAGGCGCACCGCCGCCGCCGGCGGAATATTAAAAACGTCGAAATGCACAAATGCGCGCGACGTGAAAGACGCGCAATAATGGCGCCTTGAGGCTGCACAATGAGAACGCGCGCATTCAAATTGAACCGGAGGCGGCGAAAATGCAACTTCTTTTCTAAGGGCAGCGAATCGAACACAATATCGATGAAAAATGCATGATGAACGCGTGTACGACTAGTTCAGGTTATTCTTTTGTGAAATATTGAGAAAATAGAATAAAAACACATTATATTGATATTTTATATAAAAAACCTATTGAAATATACAATGTGTTCAGTACTCACATAGATAATAACCACCAATCCACATCAACACATGAAGCAGATGTCAAAATATGCATGTCGGTTATAAGAGATCCAAGACAACGAAAAGAATCAACTTTTTTTTTCTTGCCGCCATTTTGGCGGTAGTTGATTGCCACCACCCATGGAAATTCTTCAATTTCTGATAACTTTGGACTGTTGAATAGTGGATTTGAATGCAGAATACCACAAACTAAAATTTAAGAATTTTTTTATGATTTTTTTGTATTGTGGACACATTGTATGATGTTAATAAATATATACGATTGTAGCATTGTTTCGAATGCGTCGCAAAGTTATATTAAAATTCCAACAATCCGACAAATTCCGGGATGCTCTCCTATGTGAAAAGGAGCGTTATTGAGCCGGAAGCGAATGTCCTTTGCCGCTGCCGCCGCCGTTGCCGCCTACGTCGCCTTCATTCGATTGTTTCCGCGCGCACTTTTCAGCAACAATTTCGCAAGCGATTAAATTAAACGCTTCAAACGCTTTTCGAACAATCCGCCACACAAACGGACATATTACGAAATATTTCAACCCTTAAAATATTTAAACACATAATACCTACCTACAATCCTCATATATGTATAATTTAATCATTGAAATATTTCGTTTTCATATACAATATGTTCATACCTTTTTGTTCATTATTATCGACGCGCTGAAAGTCCGAAGTTTTCCGGCTGTCGATGAGTTGCCCAAACATCACGCACGCGGCGCACAAAGCAGCAACTTTGCACTTAAACTTTACGCCGCCTCCACCACCTCCGGAACGCTGCTTCTTAGGTCTCGGGAGCTGCGCCATAGTCGCGTGCGGCCGATTAAACAAATCCCGAAACAATCGCGTCCCTAATGCACGCGCACACCGCACAATCTTTGCCGCCGCCGCCTTCGACAATGTCGGCGTTTTGCAACAAAGTGAACGGAGTGAAACATCAGCGCAACAAATTAAAACTTTTCACACCACTTTTAACAATAGATAATTACCATTTGTATGGCATTACCTTATAATGAAAAGTAACAAATTGATTTATACAGGGTGTCACATAAATTTTTGTAATAAAAATAAATTATAAATCATTTAATTAAAAAATATTTTTTATTCAAAAACAGAAAAAATTAATACAATTTATTAATATTTAGACACAAAATGAACAAAAATTTATTTTGATTAATATGGGAATCTTATTGATAATTTTTTGATGACGCTAGGTGTGAAAACGATCACCCGACATATTTGCGCTAATATTTCGAGTAAATAAGTGCTCAAATCGTCGCTTATCAGATCGAAAGTATACGCGCCCACGCGCATCGCCATTGTTTGCGCCCCGCGCGCACACTGACAACCAGCAAACGAAGCGCATAATCGTCACTCACGCTCGTCCAATCGCAGGCCCTTCGAATACATTGTGTCCACTCGCACACCACCTTCACGATCATATATGTCCACCCATGCACACACATACGATTGTATATTAATGTGCGTGTAGATATTTTTTTGTGCGCAGCACCATCGCTTTGTTTACCGCTCGCGATATGCGGGCATTGTTTGGCGGACAAATCGTTTTATTAATTCCGCATTGTGCGGCGCTTTTCCAGCGCGCCGGCACTTTATTAAGCTGATTTATCAGAGTTAATCCGTTCGATTGTAATTTCCAGCGGTGTCGGTGGCGGCAAGCACGCGCGCGCGGATATGAATGATGCGCGCATTGTTGAATTTCATAATTTCGCGTTGTGCGCGAATCATATCTGATCGAATGCTTAAATTAACCATGGCGCGATTGTCCAAACAGTAGCAGTCGTGATTGTGCATATGATTAAATTCTACATCATAAAAACAAGCAAATTTAACACATTGTATATGAATAATTATTATGAATACGAAATATCTTAGAATAAGTAAGTAATATTACTTGTTTATATTAATACATTTTTATTCAAGACCCTGTATATGTCAATTTTGTCAAAATTTGCAATTTTATTTAATTAAATGCACATAATGCACTCTAGCGCCACCTCGTATCCATTTTTTTAACTGTAACTATCATTAAACCCCTATATTAACTTTCATCTCTTTTTTAACGCTCTTCATGGCTTAATTTTTAATATCTTAATAATTATTATGTTCTCTGGGACGGTGACGAATCCAAAAAATCATTAATCATCAAAATCTGTCCAGCCGATCTAGAGTTATACGTGATGTAACTAACATGACTTTGTTTTCTTCATATTTTTTATGGTTACTTTTATTTTTCATGAACACACTGTATAATTTTGTCCTTAAATAATTATTACGGCAAGCATAATAACAATTCCAGGTGGATGATGTTCTCGCCCGCCTTGGCACACGAAATCCTCGAAATTTGCATTTATAATTTTCTTATCATCGCGCGTCCAAGCAGCGCCGCGCCGGATTTACCGGATTGCAGGAGATTCGCAGGACGAGCGACTGGATTGTGTCGTTGGCGTGTGATGTTTGCCTGTTTACGAATTTCGGCATTCCGGCGCAGTTAATTAGAAAGTTTAGAGTGGCAATTCGCGCGTGAAGAACACTGATGGAAATCGTCTCGGCGCGTTTTCCGCCGCACCGCCGCCGCCCCACGGCTCATGTCAATGCGAAGACGGCGCAGCACTAAAAATAAGAGCGAAAACCATGTGAAAATCTCACGTGCACAAACAACCAACGCGCGAGATGAACGCGAGGGCTTTTCTTCGCGAGCGTTTTATTGTTTATCCTGTGCCAGAGCTGTAGGAGGCGGCTGGGGGGTGGTTTGAAGGAAGGAAACGTGTTTTACGAGATGGGAGCAATTTTCACATAGGAATGAAAATGTTTGGTGTAAAATTAATGCTTATATGTTTAATTATTACTATGTTTCCTAATAAGCAAAAAGAATTTTTGAAAAAAAAAAAAAATTTGCAAAAATTTTTGGGAAAATATAAAAAATTCAAATTTTAATTTTTTTTTAATTTTGAAGAAGAAAATCATGTTTTCTTGTTTTTTCATTTAATTCTATTTCCGTTATGCACCATTTAATGAATAGTAATATAAAAACATTGGTTATATACAATGTGTCCAAAATAAAATTTAATCAAAAATGATTTTTTAAAGAATTTTTTGAAAGATTTTAAAATTCTAGTCGATGATAATACACCCCAATACCGCACTGTATATTTTTGTTTGTATAAACATAAACAGCGAGTTTTGATGCGATAGTAAAATTCAAAATTTATGACTTTTTTGAATCGCACACGTCGCTCGCGCTCCTGCAAGAATTTTATTCCGGTGTTTCCTGCGAGCAGACGGGCGCAGGCGACGTTAATATAAATCGGATAACTTACATGCATTTTAGATTTGTGCCGCGAATATAATGCACGCATCGCGCCGCCATGCCATCGTAGCCCGACTCCTCGTAAAACTTTATCCTTTCGTTTCTCCATCTCGACGCGCCGCGACAAAAAGGCGCTTTGGCTGGCAAAGAGGCAATACACATGCATAAATGTATATAAAGTTGCCTACCTCTTGGTCGTTGCATGCCAGGGGTGACGCCTTGCCAAGGATAACAAAGGATAACAGAGGATAGGCACGGATAGAGAAAGATGGCGGATGGATGGCGACGGATAAAAACGCAGATAGGTGTGTGTGTTTTGTTGCCTAGTAAACTTGCCAATGCGACGCCTCTGACGCAGCGAGCATTTATATTCAGGACGCAGGACCTACGCGCCTGCTGAATGCGATTCTTTGTCCTGGCAACGATGGAACGACGATCTTGGACGCTTTAAGGACAATATCTTTGTGAACGAACAACTTTACTCAAAAGTGGAAATTTAAATTTTTATTAAATCTTTCGCAACACACTTTGTAGTTATTGTAAGTTATGGAAAAGGATTCGGTTTAAAGTTAGTTAAATTTATTTTTATTTTTTCATGTTTTGTTTTATAATTTTAGTTATTTTTCATTATTTTTATTAATTAATTAATTAATAATTAAGTAAATTATGTTTCAAAAATGTATTTCAACAAAATTATTTATTAATTAAAGTTTTTTTCTTTAATTTAAAAACTTTAACATTTACATCGGTGCAAAAAATTATAATTATAATTAAAACCGAACAAAAAGTCTTAAATTTGTAGATCCCGCTGCGTAATTTGTACAAAATAAGGAAATGCTCATAAAATGTCCGCTTTTTTAATTTCTCCACAGCTATTTCCAACAACAAGGATTTTTTTACTCCTGTACTTGCGCGCGCGTTTTTATTGTATTTCCTCGACGCAGTTCGCGCCGTTTTGCTTTTCGGCCAAGTCGTTAAAACATTTAATTAAACCATAATCATTATTCACTCGAGAAAAACTCCCGAAAAGGACGCGGACGCGCCTAGAAGTTTCCATTCTTCAGGTCTGAAGATGCAAAACCAAGACAGAAATTAAAGCAATGAGAGGCGAAGAAAAAAAAAAGTTTCCGGCGAAATACGCAATTTAGCTGGACTCATTAATTTTTTTTTTCATAATTTAAGTATGAGAAAAACAATGAAATGGTAAAGCAGAGAAATTATCATATTTATCATATTTTTTCATAAATAAAAAATGTGAATTATTAGTAACACAAAGTGTAGAAATTAATTTTGAAGTTTGTGTATGTACACTACTCGATGTAGTTTTTAATTCATTAAAACTATCCCTACTAATATTATAAATGGAAAGTCCCGATGTTTGTTACACTTTCACGCAAAAACTACTTAACCGATCATCATGTAAATTTGAACACATATTCTTAGTGGTCCCCGAATGGTTATAGGCTACTTTTTATTTAATAAAAAAAAAAAATTTTTTAAATAAAATAAGGAAATTGTTTAGCCAATAATACCTCTGCATCTGGCTATTTGACTACTTTAACGCCATCTAGCATTCCAGCAATGAAGCTCAAACCTAAGTACTATAGTACCATCACACTGTATTATCACATTGTAGGTATTACCGACAGCTACGTCAACATCAAATCCAATTGACTACACTATGGAGACTGTACACTATACTTCCATAGACTATACTTTCAGCCATTTTAAACTTCCCGCCATTCTACTTCATTGTTACTTCTTCTGTGACTACAGACGCGTACGGAAGCAACTTCATTATTTTAGATATTCGCGAGCAAAGCCGCGGGTTAAAGCTAGTACTTTATACATATTAATTTTAAACTGATTTATTTTGGCACTAACCAAAATTACACATCAAAAGTTTGTTATTGTAATATTGTAACATTTTCTTTACTGTTTGACGAAGGTATTTGCTTGGGCGAATGTTTGTATAAACTATGAGTTCATGAGTCCTAGAGTCCTAGAGTCCATTTGCCACCCCTCGGTTTACCCCTCAAGCCCTCCACGTTCGAGGATCTGCCGCGTTGGATTGCTGGATTGTTTGAGCGCGAGAATGTTTGCCGTAATTAAATATTTGATCTTGAATGTCAATCGTAATTTGCCAGAGGTCGACATTATCCTTGCTCCTGAGGTATTGGTATTTTAGTAGGTATTGGCAAATATAATAAAAATCAACTTATAATGTCTATTAAATCAAAAATTTTAAAAATATAAATAAATTATGTCTACCATTGAGCACAAATATTTATAAAGTGTACTAAATATTTTGTAGTAATATTTTATGTTTAACAATAGATGAGTTAATCTATATCTATATATATATATAAATGAGTTGCTGTTCGTTAGTCGCGCTAAAACTCGAGAACGGCTGAAAGGATTTATCTTATCTTGGTCTTGAATTTTTCGTGGAGGTCTAGGGAAGGTTTAAAAGGTGTGAAAAATTCTAATAATTGCTGGGAAAATCCTCAAAACAGCTCTTTTCAATAGAATAAAATTTGACATTGAGATTCAATCATAGTTATAGTTAAATAGT